ATATATATATGAATATTCTGACTGGCAGTAAGTATACCTGGGGAAATAACTAAGTATACCAGAAAAAGAATATATCCTGAGAGGCAGGACATCTAGCTAGGAATTACTGCGAAGGTACGCAATTCTTCCCCCCAAAAACAATTACAAAACAGGACAGAATTGACAAGACAAACCTTTCAGTCCTCTAGAAATTGACAAAAGGTATACAACTCAAGAAGCATTTATGCGTGAAAAATTGCTAATTTTTTTTAATTGAAGTATAGTTGATTTACAATGTTGTGTTATTTCTGGTGTATAGCAAAGTGATTCAGTCATACATTTATATATATTATTTTTTGTTATAGGTTATTAAAAAACTGCTAAACGCTGAGTAAGAACAGCGAGTCTGGTACTCTTGTCTGAGACCACTCTCATCCCTCTCCATCCCTCTCCTCAGCAGGTAGACGTTCAGCAAGGCAGGGCCAGGCAGAGCAAACTATGAGGACTGGAGGCTTTGTGTTGGGATCAGTGGGAGATCACTCATTCTGGAGTGGTGCAAAACACACATCCCCAGTTGTGCTGTCAGTGTAAGTGATGTTCCAGTAGGCAGGTGAGCTAGGAGGAGGAATAGTTCTAATAGACTGAGATTGTAGTCATGATTGGCAAGCTTGTGGCCAACCACGAGGCTGCATGTACGCAAAGAGGAGACATGACAAGTAGAAAGTAAACACCAGGACAGATTTGAAAACAGCCTGAACTTTGTGCTCCTTACTCACACACAGATCCTTTGGCAGAGGACAACTCTTACTGGTACAAGATGTTTGAGCACAACCTGTGTCCACTAAGCTGTGCAGATGGGGGCAAATCCCTAGAAAGCCATGTTCAAAAGTGAAAACAATTTTTTTAAAAACAATTTTAAGTGTGTATGTGTCCGAGCAGCTACATCAGCATACAATCGTATGAAATGTTCACATGTGCAAACTTATAGACACAGAAAGCACCGGGTGAAAGCAGGAATTTAATGGTAAACAGGCACGACGGGAATGTTCTAAAACTAGAATACTGTAATAGTTGCACAATTCTATAAAATCTACTAAAAATCACTGAATTGTTACCCTTGCAATAAGTAAGTTTTACGGTATATAAGTTATACCTCAGTACAACTGGTTTTTCTTTTTTTGAAGAATACATTCCTAGAAAAACATTTTGATAGTCTCAGTAGGATACAACAACCAAAATCTGGTTCCTGTTTACTCATGTACTCATTCCTTTAGTCACATTTTGGAAAACATATTATAATGCCAGGCACTGTACTTTATTATAAAGAAAAAAAATTTTAAAATAACAAATAGTCTTTCTTAAAAAATGACATTTAGGTGAAGATCTAAAGGATGAGTAGGAATTGGGTAAAGACTGAAGAGAAGAACATTCTAAGCAAAAGTAAATGGATACGCAAAAGTCCTGTGATGGAGAGGCATTCGAAAGTTTCCAAGGAGCAGGGTAAGGCAGTGAGCAAGAGGGAAAGTGAGAGATGAAACTGAAAAGATGTGCAGGGGTCGGATCATAAATGTTGTGGAACAGGCTAGGGATATAAAATTTTATCATAGAGGCAATCACATGTGACTGACTTAAAGATTTTAAGCAAGGAGTTACTTAATTCTGTTTAGGTTTATACAATCTCCCTCTGGCCAAAACCATCCTGAAAAAGAACAATGCTGGAGGATCCACAATTCCCAATTTCAAAACTCACTACAAAGCAACAGTGATGAAGAAAACGCAATACTAGCATAAAAACAGCCAAACAAATGAATAGAACTGCAAATCCAGAAATAAACGGTTACATTTATGGTCAACTGATTTTTTACAAGGATGCCAAGATAACTGAGTGAGGAAAGGGCACTCTTTTCAACAAATGGTGCTGGGACAACTGGATATCCACATGTGAAAGAATGAAATTGAATACCTATTCACAAAAATTAACTCAAAATGAGATAGAGACTTAAATCTAAGAGATAAAACTACAAAACTCTTTGAAGAAAAAAAAACTGTGAATCTTTGTGACCTTGTGTTAGGCCACAGTTTCTTAGATACAACACCAAAAGTACAAGGGACAAAGAAAAAACAGATAGATTGGACTTCATCAAAATTTAAAATATTTGTGCTTCAAAGGACACCATCCTAAGAGTGATAGACAAACCAAAAAGAGGAAGAAAATATTTGCAAATCATATACCTAATGAGGGACTTGTATCTAGAATCATATAAAGAACTTAACAATTCAACAATAAAAAAAATGGGCTAAAGCTCTGAACAGACACTTTACCAAAGAAGATACACAAATGGTTAATAAGCACATGAAAAGACGCTCAATAACGTTAGTCTTTAGGAAAATGCAAATCAAGAACAAAATGAGATACCACCTCACACCCACTAGATGGCTACAATAAAAAACACAGATAATAACAAGTATTGGTGAAAATGTGGAGAAACTGAAATCGTCCTATCTTGCTGGTGAGTGGGACTGTAAAATGGCACAGCCACTTTAGAAAACAGTTTGGCAGTTCCTCAAAAGGTTAAGCACAGAATTACCATACGATATGATCCAGCAATTCCATCCAAGAGAACTGAAAACATGAGTTCACACAAAAACTTGTACACAAATGTTCAGGCATCATAATTCATAGCCAAAAAGTAGCAAGAACCCAAATTTCCACCAACTGATAAACAGGTAAACAATATATGGTATATCCATGCAATGGAGTATTATTCAGCCATAAAAAGGAGTACTGACACATGCTACAATAAGGATGAACCTTGAAAACACTATGCTAATTGACTGAAACAACTCATAAAAGATTACATATTACATGATTTCATTTACTAAAAATGTCCAGAATAGGCAAATCTGTAGAGACAGAAAAATTAGTAGTTGCCTGGGGCTGAGGAGAGAAGGAATACGGAAGTAACTACCACGTGGTTTTTTGGGGGATGATGAAAATGTTCTAAACCCAGATTGTGGGAAAATTTATGGTATGTGGATTACATTTCAATAATACTATTTAAAAAAAACTACTTTATTAGGATGGTTAAAATTGAAAATGCTGACAGACAATATCAAGCGCTGACAAGGATGAGGAGCCTCTGGCTCTCACACAGTACTGGGAATGCACAACGGTACAACCACTCTGAAAAAGAGTGGTAGATTCTAATCAGTATAAACATACACTTACCATACAACCCAACAACTGTGTCCCC